TCTCTTATTCCTGGGACGCCTGGGTGGCTCAGTCAGTTAAGCGTCTGCTTTCAGCTCAGGTCATGATCCCAGGGTCCTGGCATTGAGTCCTGCATTGGGCTCCTTGCTCAGCAGGGAGCCTGCTTCTCCCTCTGCCTGCAGCTCCCCCTGCCTCGCGCTCTCTCTCTCTCTCTGATGAATAAATAAATAAAATCTTTAAAAAAAAAAAATAACATCTCTTATTCCTAAAAAATTATCAGATTGAACTAGCTTTGTATCAGTTTGAAAAAAAGGCTATATCCCCAGAAAGAAGTGGATTACAAGAAAAGGAGGTCAAATAGTGAAGCCCAAGATTTTCTAAATTCTTAATGAATCTGGTCTGTACAATATAATTTAAATATTTTTATCGAAAATACATTTCCAGAAAGTCTAACACATACACCTATACATGCACAAACTTGGTAAGTATAAAGCAAAAATAGAGACTTATGAGTTATTTCCCAGTTTGAGTTATCCATATTTTTACTTGCCCTTTCTCTATTTACAAGGACTCCAAAAACTGATTATGTAAACTATTTTCTTAAAAAAATTTACTCAAAATATCTGCTTTAAGTTAATGTATTTTAAGACTGAACTTAGTTTCCTGCTGTAGCTACAACAAAGAATATTTAAAATTTAGAATGTTCCTTTCTAGTGCACTTATAGACTAACATGAAGTAGATGCATATCTCCCTATTTTCTCAATAAGTACAGCTAAAACACCTAGACACTGTATTTAAAACAAATGTAAGATGATTCTAGAAGGTGGCAAGAAGAGAGATCTAGGGAGAGACCTGGGACAAAAGAGAATGATACATCATTCTGTTCTGTGAGTTTTCTTTTAGCCTCATACATCCCAAGCTGGGTAATGAAATGGCCAGCAACCAGGAAATACCAGTGGGCACAAACAACAACCCCAAGAAAAGCCCTTCCTCTCTAGCCAAAGGACCATGGTAGGGGCAACTCAGCAGAACAAAAAACTTGTAGGTAATAAATGGCCTGATGACAGCCGAACCCACGGAAAAAAAATATGACCCCACAACCATTTCTGTGAGCCACGGCCAAAGTGCTAAGCCCAGACTTCCACCTTGACCAGCTGTGGGGAGGTTTCCCATCCCACCCCCACTGCCCTCTAGGTGATAGCAGAGAAAACCAAGTTGGGAGGCATTTTTTGAACTTGAATTCCCATCCAGACATAAGGAGTCTCTCTCTCCCTCCTTTCCTGTGTCAGAAAAAGCTGAGTGGGGAGTCAGAACTTTTATAACCGTTTAAGAGGTAACAAGGCTTCCCGTCCCACACTCCTCCTACCAAGCAGGGTGGTATCAACCAAGGCTGATGGGGGGCTTGAAATTCCACTTTTTCCCAGGATTAAAAGGCACCCTTTTGACCCAGAATGTCAAAGGCAGCTAAGTAGGAAACCTGCACCTGACAATGACAAAGTGGCGTCTACCTTCCCCTAACTGTGCAGTGTCAAGAGACCCGTTAAAATACCAGATTTAAATAAGATCCAAGGAGTCATATGAAATACCCAAAATGCATAGGATATAATTAAAACCACTCATCACACCAAGAATCAGGAAAACCTCAACTTGAATAAGAAAAGACCATGAACAGAGAACAATAAGCTGACACCAATGTTAAGATTATTTGACAAGGATTTTAAGGCAACCATCATAAAATTGCTTAAATAAGTAATTATGAACATGATTGAAACATGAGGAAAAAAAGAAAGTTTCAGCAAAGATACAGAAGATATAAAGAACCAAACAGAGGGTGCCTGGGTGGCTCAGTTGGTTAAGCGCCTACCTTCAGCTCAGGTCATGATCCCAGGGTTCTGGGATCGAGTCCCACATCGGGCTCCCTGCTCAGGGGGAGTCTGCTTCTCCCTCTGTCCCTCCCCACTGGTCCTACTCATTCTTTCTCCCTCTCTCTCTCTCGCAAAAATAAATAAAATCTTAAAGAAAAAAAAAAGAACCAAATAGAAATTTTAAAACTGAAAAATAAAAAAGTAATAGCGAAGAACTGACTCAAAAGCAGAATCGGTAAACTACAAGATAGAACAATAAAAATTATTCAAACTGAACAACAGGAAGAAAACAGACTGCAGAAATAATGTACAGAACAAGTACCTACAGAACTATAACAACAACAACAAAAAGCTTTGCTAAATAGCATGCTTGCCTTTTAGTTCAGTTTGGCTATGAGACCTCCCAGTACTTTTTCCTATCAGTTATCTGGCCAAGGTGATAAGATACTCCATAAGTCAGTTTACCCTTTTATTCACGTGGTATAAAAAGGAGAGAGACCCTTCTTGGTGTGGAAGTAAAATCATCTGAAAAAAGTTTTCTTTGGAAGTACTGCTTCCTATAAAAAGTCTTTTTAAACTGAATATGAGTTTTGAAGACTCAATTTGTTACTCTTATATTATCACCGTTAACAGTAAAAGCAGTACAACAACCATGATAATGCCACTTGGGATTTATATTGGTCTTTATTGTGAAAAGCTCAAAGTGTATGTGAGGTCTTAGGTGGTATCTCAAGTATGTTACTGTTCTCATTAATAGACTGAGAAACTGAAACTGAATTTGCAAAGGTGTATGTCTCACTAAAGGGCCCAGAATAAGTCACTCATTATAGGCAGAAAAAAATATATAAAGTACTCTCATTATTCAGTACTGCATCTTCCAATAAACACTATATAATTCCAAATATGGGGCTGGTAAGTGTGGCTGTAAACAACATAATTAGCCCTTGGGGAACAGGCTGCATTGTATTAGTGAATTCATTCATTCATTCAAGAATATTAAGTGGGCCCATACTATATGCCTGATATGACTCTAGGCACTAGGAAAGAAAGTTCCTAACTTCATAAAAAATTACATTCTGGTGGGAGAAAACAAAACATAACCAAATTAAAACAAAATAACAGGTGAAAAAAAATGCTATGAGGAGGAGGGAAAAAGCAAGGAAAGGTAGCTAGGAAATGCTAAGCATTTACACAGTGTCTTCTTTTCTGTTGCATGGTCAAGGAAAGCATCCACAAGAAGGTAGCATTTGAGCAGGTATTTGAAGGAAGCTAGGGTTCAGTGAGAGTTATTAAAAGTATAATATTCAAAAAGTTAAAATGGGACTCATGTAAATATAAATTGAACATACGCCAAAGATTTATTCTACTCACTTATTAATAAATGAATGTTAAGACTGATTCAAAGAGCATTTGAAGATATGTATATATCTTTTATATATATACATATGTATATATATATAAAATTTAAATAATGCTGTGTTAGACTAAGAAAGAGTGCTAGGTTGGAGACAAAACTGGCCAATGTCCTACAGGTCAATAAAGAGTATTTTTGAAGTTATCTTTTCTAATAGAAATGACTTAACGTTCTTCTGGGAAAAAATTAATTAACATGTAATGTCAATATATCTGAGACTTACAATCGATAGTAAACAGCAAGTCAAATAAAGTACATTCTCCTAAATAATCCGAAGTCTATTAAACAATATCCCCATAAGACACTGAAAGAACACAGCTCACCCTCTCCCTTATTTTCAAGTTTCTCTTTTTTCTTTTTTTTTTTTTTCGACAAAGCTTTGCAGATAGGAGAGCATTCCAGTCAGAGACACTGTGAATGAATCACAAAATATTTCCCTCCACTCACCACTCCGACAGCCAAGAAATGCCCTCCCCAACACAGACTCACACATTCACCTGAACCTTATTAAGTAAGAAGTTTGGTGTAAGTAAATAGCTGGAAAAATTGGAGAAGCCAGAAGATTTACATTGGAAGGAGACTGAGAATTGAGGTCGGGAAATGATTTGATTTACATTTTTAAAAACATTACCTGCTGAAATAAAAACTCATTAGGGAGAAGAACAAGGGTAGAGGCTAGAAGACCACTTAGGAGACCATTAAAACGGTCTAGGCAAATAAATAAGTAAATATATAGCTTGTCAGATGTACAAAGTGCTATGGAGAAAAACAAAACAGAATTTGGGAAGGTTGACGGGGTGTCAGCATTGTCTGGAAAGGTCTTCTCTGATAAGGTGATATTTGCACAGGGATCTGAATGATATAAAAAAGGAAACCATGCAGAAAACTGAGGGAAGAGTGTTCCAGACATGGGGATAAGGCACAATGACTGAGGAGAGAGAGTCACGGAAAAGATGGGGAGAGAGGATAAAAGAGAATGCAGTGCCTTGCAAACCACTTTAAGGACTTACTTGGCTTTTAATTGGGGTGAGATGAGAAGCCATGAAGGTTTCAGAGCAGAGAAAGGACACGATCAGCTTTATTAAGTATTAGATTACAGTGGCTGCAATGTGGAGAATGGTCTGTAAGTGGGCAATGACAGAAGCAAAAAGATTAGTTAGAAGATCCTTTAGTATTCCAAGGGAGAAATAAGGATGGCTTAGTATAGGGGGGTAGCAGGGACCTTAAGGACAATCAAAACCTGGACATTTTGAAGGTAGAGCCAACAAGTTGTGATAAAGGAACAGACATGGGGTAAATGTGGGTATCAGCCTTAGCAACTGGAAATACAGAGCTGCCATTTATTCAGATGGTAAAGACTGCAGAAGAAACAAGTTTATTAAGGAAATTTGGGGAGAAGAAGAGGAGACATTGATTACAATTTATGAAAAAGGTTAAATACCTCACTTTGGAAGTTACAGGATTCCAAACTCTTCAAATGTAATCACAGTAAGAAAAATCAGAATATTGATTTCTAAGTTTCATCCATCAGAAGCAATATCTTTCATCAAATTGAGTCTCAACTAACCCTCATTGCTTCTCACAAATACATACTTTTCAAAATGGCATTTATCATTAATTTCATCCATTGTTGGTCAATATTTTACATATTGAAGCAAGCATCTGATCCTTCATTGAGTATTTATTAAACACTTTTTTGAAATTATATTACATGCTTCTGCAAAAGGCCTGCATATTAAATTTTAAATTCACAGGGTTTACCTGAAGTTCTTTGTATCTATCTTGAAAAGAAATGGCCTCTTGCTCTTTTTCTTTAAGGAAATCTTTTTCTAAGACACTATGCTTTTCCATCAATGATTCCACATCCTAAAAGAAAAATCCAAGCATAAATTTTATAATATTTGATGGCATAAAATATATTCAGTTTTTTCAATGAACACACCAGAAAATATTTGGTAAGGAAAGCACTTACAGGAAGTATGGTTTAAAGCTCAACACTATTACAGATTGTATGGCCCACTCTCATTTCCAGACCTATATTAACATTGATATAACACTAAAATTATTCACACTAATAAATGAATAGCATCTAAACTAACTGTAATCAGCACAAACTATCTCTACATATCTACATATACTTTCTATAAATTTGCAAATTATAGATATATTTATAGGAAAGAGAAATGAGAACATAAATAAATAATTTACCAAAACAGCTATATATCTAAGTACTCTTGTCAAATATCCCATGCTGCCTAACTTCCCATAGGGACAAGTCAATGTTACAGTATAAGAAATACAACACTACCTGTTTTCAAAGTAAATAAAAATAAATCAGAGGAAAAGCATTAGAGGAAAAAATTTGGTAGCAGATGTTCATCTTTAAAAGTAAGTATCTAAGACTACCCATTGCTTATCAAAGACTTTTCTAAATGATAAATTCACAAAACTAATTTAAATCTATAGCCAAAGGAAGACAGCATCTTCTTCCACTCATGAGTTTTTAATCAGATTAGGATTATATCAAATTTCGAGTCTATGCAACTCAAACATTTATTTTTTTAGGCAAATGTAAATATACCTTTTTAATTCTCTGTTTTTCTTCTTCAGAAACTTTGAGCTTAATCTCCAGACTTGAAATTTTCTGCTGAAGCTGTATGTTTGATACATTGGCTCCAGGATCCTCAGAATCATCCACAAGAGCAATTGTTCCATTACTTTTCTCATCATTTAAACCCAATGGAAAAAGTGAGATATCCAGATGAGTGTGTGTTGATTGCTGAATCTAAACCACATTAAAAAAAAAAAAAATACACAAGAGGGGAAAGTTTACACTGTACCAATAAGGAAAACATCCAAAGGGCACCAGAAACCACATTTGGAAATTAAGTTGTAGCAAAGGTTCTGAAATTATTTCACCCTTTAAGTAAATCAACAGAAGACCTCAAACTGTTACAACAACCTGATTTTTGCAGCTAAGAAACAAAATTCCCTCTAAACTTTAGAGTCTAAAGCATTTATTATTTTGCAAGCAAAGCACTAAAAAACTTAAAACATTTTCTTATGCTTGAAAGCATATAATTAAGTATAGACACATCTGATACTCACCAGTTCTTAAATTTATACAAACATCCAGAATTTGTGTTTTTAAATTATAAATCAGAATTTGAAATTTATTAATAACCACTAATTGATCATCAATCACTCTCTAGTAAAGATAACAGGTGACTCAAGATTGTGTACTGTACTTTGGAAATCTGGACTAATTGCAGAATCTAGCCCAATGCCTGGATTAATAAATATTTGAATGAATAAACCCAATGACTGCTATCTTTTTGGTTTTTACTCTAAAATTAAAATGAACACTCTAATACCTAAAAAACAGGTTAAGCTTCCCTGAAAAGAGAAATAATTATTTTTTTGTAATTATTTTTTCTTTTGAAGTTTTAAAGATTTGAAACGCAAAGCTAAGACAATTTTAATAAATGATACACTTAAACTGTATTTTGGTAACTACGGCTACTTAAAAACTTTGCAATTATGCCACAAAACAAACATATTATTCAGTTTTTTGAATTCCAGATATTAGCCTCAAAGTTAAAATATCTACAAAAATACTTCTTTCATAAAAATAAGTAAAAAAAAAAAAATCAATCCGAAAAGCTTTATTTAAACCTCTAATTTTTTAAGTCTGTAAACTTCTTATAAAAATACACTTGTCTTTACCTGTGCTTTAGGAACAGTTTGACTGACAATGCTGCTGTCTGTGTGTGTATTTTCTGGTGATGAAATGATGGGCTCAGAAGAGAGGCAGCCAACTGAAGTAGCATGGTCATGGTCCAGTACAATCTCAGGAGAAGCTGGAGAAAGATGGACTCCAGATACTAAAGAAAAAATAAATAAATGAAGGATTATCCAAGAGAAAGTCAAGAATAGGTTGAAAGGAAGAAAGAGAGTAGAGGAAAGGGAAGAGAAAAGGGTAAGGGAAGTAAAAGCAATGAAACAAAATGAAGATTCTACGACTATTCCTCGGGGACCATTATCTAAAATCTAAAACTAGTATTTCTAAATTTATCATGACATTTCCACGAGACCCAGACAACAAAACAGTTTACTAATGTCATAGTGTTTACATAATAACACATTACCATAAGTAGTGCATTTCCAACTGAGAGAAAGCATTCAAATATATTATCCATTTATTCAGTTAAGAAAAAGCACTAGCATGCCTACCAATGCCCGCCACAGGCACTAAGCATGGAGAAGAGACAGTGAACAAGACAGATGTACCTTATGACCCAGAGGCAAGTCAACTCAATGAAATATGTATTACAATAAACTGAGTTAAGAGGAAGAATAACTACTTTAAAATAGCTAATCCACGGCGCCTGGGTGGCTCAGTCGGTTAAGCGTCTGACTCTTGATTTCAGCTAAGATCATGATCTCAGGGTCATGAGATCAAGCCCCACATCCAGTTCAACGATCCACAGGAAGTCTGCTTGAGAGTCTCTCTTTCCCTCTCCCTCTGCCCCTATGCCCCCACCACACATGCTCTCTCTCTCTCAAATAAATAAAATCTTTAAAAAAATAAAATAGCTAATCCAACTGCCTCTGTGTTAACTTCTTCTTTTGTAACAAGCAAAAGAATTTTCATGTTAAGATCAATTTTAGTTTGCTGAATTGTTTCTACAAGAAAGTAATGTTGAAATAGAATCCTATAATTAGTTTGACAACAAATTATTATTAGATTGTGATTAGGTTCAAATACAAAGGTCATAAAAAGAAAGCTGACTGCTAAGATGAAATAAGACAAAAATACCGATAAGGGCAAAATAAAAAGATTATACGTATTATTACTATATTCTCAAATTTCTTTCTAAAAATTCAAATATATTTGAATTATGTGTTTTAAAGTGTAAGAAGAGTAAATCATTTTTAGCAGTAATCTATTTCTATGTTTTGGCTTTCTAAATTATAAAGACCTTTATTCCACATTGGCATCAGTAGCAATGTCAGCGAAGTTCTACCATAAATTCTGGAAGGCAGCTCACAATGGAAATTGCATTTTTCCCTAAAGAAAGACATTTATAAGGTCATTAGGTATTTAAAAACTAAGGAATATATCAATTTCTGATTGGCACCCTATGGGATCATTCAATTATCTCACATACACTATTATTATGTTGCAATACCAAGTTTTTAAGATACTATGTGCCATACTGGATAAGGTATTCTACCTTGTTCCACAGGCATGTCACTATTTTAACTAAAATACAGAAACCTGGAATTTCAATTCATGTTTGTACTTGATATATCTTTCCCAGAAATAATTTTTTTCTAATCTTCACTATTCTGTATGCTAACATATTTCTTTAAAATGTCAAAATAGTCTACTTCTAATTCTGAATTATAATTTATAATAAAAATATTCCTAATGAACTTTTAAAGGCATGAAAATAAGTACTATTATACAGTAAGAGGGAATAAGGCTTGTAATTAACAGCATAGACTCTAGACCCATAGTGTCATACCAGGTGTAAAACGATCGGCAAGTTTAACTTCCCTTAGTTTCCTTGCCTGTAAAATTGGCATAGAGTTGCCGATGAGACTTAAATTGACTAAAATATGTAAAACATTTAGCACTGTGCTGATATCATTTTCATTATTACTTCAAAGATCATTAATATTTGTTGGACAATTATGTTTATTTCTGGGCATAAAAGGTATGTGTGACTATGATCCCGGGTTCAAGAAACTCTTAAAAATACCATCCTGATCTGGGGTGCCTGGGTGGCTCAGTCAGTTGAGCATCTGCCTTTGGCTCGGGTCTTGGTCCCACAGTGTGCTGGGATCCAGCCCCACGGCAGGCTCCCTGCTCAGCGGGGATGCTTCTCCCTTTCCCTCTGCCCCTCTCCTTGCTTGTATGCTCTCTCTCTCTAATAAATAAATAAAAATCTTTTTAAAAATATCATTCTGATCTAATACCTGAACATTTTTAAATCTCTTTATATGTCACTCATATTTATAGCTATAATCTAAGACATCATATTGTCCCAAGTTAAATTCTCATCCTATAACATTAAATGGTCAAGTACATCAGAAGGAAATAATGGAAGGGAGGGGATGTAGGAGGAAAGAAAGGAAAGCGATACATAAGGAAAGAGGAAGGGAGAGGTTGAGGGAGGAAAGTAGGAAAAGGGGGACCTCACACTTGTGACCGCAACCTCATATTTCCACCAGCTACTGCCACTCTATCACACTTTCCCTTTATAACCAAATTTCTTGTCTCCAAATGATTTGTTTCCATTTTTTTTCTTCCTCTCCCACCCCTCATCACTCCAGTGGACCCATCATTTAAGATATTAATTTTCCTTTCAGTTACTATTAATCAAATGAACACGTCTTACTTGATCATTCTTTCTTTAGTTCTCAGGAGCACTTGCTACTAGTGCCCCTCCTTGTTCCTGAACCTCCTCCTTTGGCACTTGCAATACCATTATCTCCTAGATTTCCTCCTAACAGTTTGACTATTTTGTCCTTGTTTTCTTTTCAGATTCTTTCTCCACTCAATCTTAAGTTTCATTGTTCCCAATGTCCACTTCCCAATATCCACATTATTACCACTTTGAAAATCCATTATGTAGATTATGACCTGTAAGCTAATGACACCTAAATTCACATCTCTAAGCACCAACCACGTGCAGACCTCCAGATCCATATACTCAACTTTAACTACCAGACAGTTCCATTTAAGCTGTCTAGCAGGTATGTCAAACTTACCCATTATCTTACATAAAGCTGCTTTGCTTCATGTTTTCCATCTTAGTTAATAGTACCCCAAAGAACTATTTGCCAAGCCAGAAATTAAGTGCCAACCTCACTCCAGTCACACTGTGCTACTAACAGTTCTAATTATGCCATACAGTTCAATACCTCTATGACCTCACAATATACTGCCTAAGTAAAAGTCATAGGTGTGGAGTCAAAAATGGATTCAAATTTAAACAATAACAATTTACTCGTCATGCAGACTTGGGCAAATTACATAAACCCCTCTAAGCCATTGTTTCTTCTTCTGAAAATGGGGAAATAATGTGTAGCTCAGAACAAAGCTATACAGCTTAGCTCAGATGATGTATATAATCACTTCATTGTACCAGACAGGTACATGGTAAATATTCAGTAAATGGAAGTTGCCACTGAAATTATCATTTGTCCACATTCAAAACAAGCTTATCCAGGAATCTTTTCACCTGCTCCATTACCACCCAACCATAATATAATTTAAATGTCCCACTATCAACATATGACAGAATTTCTAAGAAATAACTATAATTAAAATATTATATATAATAATGGGATACAAATAAAGCAATGACTAGGAAAAAATCTATAGTCTTGAACACTTCAATCCATTTTTTAAAAATCAGTGAATTAAATTCCCAGGTCATAAACTAAAAAGAAACAGTAAAGAAAATTTAAAAAGCACAATAAAGAAAACAAAGATAATGCAGACAGAAGTAGATTAAGAAGAAAAGTAAATCTAATTAATCTATCTAATTTCTAAAAAAAAATCCTGAATTTCTAAAAAGAATAAAAATAGTACTTAATTAATTAAAAATAAAAAAGGGGAAGTACAAATACACAAATTAAATGGCCAGGGGAAAATAAAACAAAACAATTTTTTAGTAATAAAACTCCTTTGTAGACTTCTAAGTAAATTTGAAAAATCTAGATAAAATAAGCAATTTTCCACAGAAATACAGCTTATATAAGTTATTCTGATTAGAGCTAAAAACAAAACAAAACAAAACAAAAACACTCAAAAATAGAACAACTGCCTTGGGGAAAAAAGTTAGGCACCTACCCCACAGGTAAAGCACTCAAGAAAATTTCTACCAAAAACTCAAAGAATGGATAATCCAATGCTCTAAAATTGTTGCTGAACATTGAAAGGAAAGGAAAATGTCAAAATGTCATTAGCATTACATAACATTAACACAACACTGATAGCTAAGCTTGATAAAGACAGTACAAAAAGAATCATTAGAGATTTTTAGAGTATCACTTATAAATAATGACAAAGTTGTAAATAAAATATTAGTAAAAAAAATCCACTACCATATTGAGAGAATGACATGCAATGAACAAGTCAGATTTGTTCTAGTAATGCAAGGCTGGTTCACTATAAAGGAATTCTTTAACAAAAATTTCCATATTAATATATTGGAAGAGAAAAATTATATGATTATTTCCAAGACTCTGAAAATGCTTCTGACAAAAACTGAATACCCATATCTGTAAAAAACACTTTAAACAGGAATTGATGGACACTTTCTGAACATGATATAGGCCTTAGTCCTAAAGTCAGCTAAACAACTAAAGTTGTTTCCTATATGAATAGGAGCAAAACAAGGATGACTACTATATCCATGCCACTGAACATTCCACTAAAGGCATGAGCCAAGGTGTTAGACAAGAGAAATTAAATACAAGCATAAAAATAGGAAAAGGAGGAAAACTATTTCATGTCCCTACTAACTAAAATAATACATACATTCAGTAAAGTAGCAGGATATAAACTTAAACACAGCATACAGAAAATAGCATTTACTTGTAAAAACATTAACCATTTAGAGTATATAATGGTACAGAAGAATACTATTTTCCATAGCAACAATGATAAAATAGTTACAAATTTAAGAGGAAATATGACAAAAACATTTAAAACACTTCTAAAAGACTCAAGGATAGACCTGACAAAGGAAAAGATCTCTTGAAGCTGGATAGGGAAACTAAACATCATAAAGATGTCAACCCTCCCTTAGTTAATTTATTAGTCCTAATATAATTCCAATAAAAGTATCAATAAGCTTTTTTATAA